GCTGAACTCTTACTCTAGAAACTGATGCTCTAAAGAACAGCTCTTCTCCCTAAATTTAGGCTATTGACCCTTTAGGGTATGTTTCAACATTAGCTTACTAGCCATATTTTTTTAAAGATACAGATTAGAAGGTTGTAGCATAAGCTTCTCCCAGGTTACAATGTGATTTGAAGTGTGGTGAGCTGTCTCAGCTGTTGGTAAGACTGCTCTCTGATTATATCCCATTAAGCTGATTCGATCTCAAGTGAATGAGAGCTTATGGAAACACACCAAAGAGACTTTTACCAGGAGCCTAAAAATACTTCAAGTGTATCTGCTTTTGCTTATTAGCCTTCACAGAAGATAATGGTTCCATTTCTACTACTGTTACTGTGTTAAGCAGTCTCTGTAAGAACAGGCTTTGCCAACTATTACCAACATGAAAAACCTTATGATGGCAGTTCTTGGTTTCCGAAAAAAAATCCCAGCATTTCTCTGTAAAACTGCGTGTTTCAGAAAAATCTGTCTGAAATTTATGGGCCAGCAATCCAAGAATATATTTTTGAGGCATGGAGGAAGGTGGACGAAAGGAGGACTGTGGACCGCCTGCAGCCTTCCATTATTGTCATCTCACTGCCAGGGCAGGTTCCTGCCACTTTATAAGTGCCCCTAAGCAAGGGAGAACAAGCCTGGAGGCAGCTCCAGAATTAGTCCTAGTGGTTGAGCCAGAAGGTTCATTTGGACTCGGCTTCTTAGAGAGAATGTCATGGGTGCAGTTTTGCTGCTCTTATCCTACTTTGCCTAAAGCTACTTCTCTCAATATCGTTGTGATTTTTTTTTGTTTTGTTTTGTTTTTTAATCTTGATGTGATAAATATTAAGTAAAATTCACATCATCATAATAAAAGATTTCCCTTAAGAAATCAAAGTCTCTAATAGCAAGTGATGGCTTGCAGCACTGTGCTATATACAGTGGTTTACTTATGTCCTGTATCCATTCAAAGTAGTTCCCAGGCTAATGGAACTAGGAAAATAACTTGAACTTCTGTGGGAGATATATGATAAAATGGTTTATTTGTTTGCATTATACAGAAACTGAATATAGACATTATTTGTACTTCAGAAAGAAGACAGTATCTTGAAATTAATTTTTGAAGTTGAAGATTGTCATGAAATTTCAGTAGTGTACTACTGATTTTTGCACTTATAGCTGGATTTGACTACAGTAT